TACCTTGCCAAATTGTAATCGCCTCTACGATCGAGTATGTAGTGGTTGGTTGCTTTGGTTGTGTGTTTTTGGTGGTGATTGGTTGGTCTGCGTTGTGGCCCGTTGCCACTAACAGCACCCTTAATCACTAGGTCATTAGCATCGTTGCAGATTTGATAAGTTGCAATATTACATAACAAGACTAAATTATTACAAGTTAAGATTGAGAACAATTACATTTGAATGTCTATTATTATTTTCGTAACTGTCTTTAGGTGGATACTCTTTGCGCGTTGTGCAAATGGTCTATGAGGAACGAAATAGATTTAATCTGGCATTAAATATTTAATTGCTTTTTTTTTGTGAAATGAAAACGTGTCCTTTTACATACATGTAAAGCTTGTTTGTAAATTCCTCGATCATTACTTTTGAATATGAACCAACAAAAGAAAATGAAAACGATCTATATATTATTTCCTCTTAAATACCGAAGATACAGTAATAAATTCTATGGTAACCGGAAATTTCTCATTATCCATATTATTTGCATAATCGAGAAATAGACTGTTTATAATTTTTAATGGATATGCTGTAACTTACATGGTCCTTACGTAAGTTGAAATATAGGCCGAATTATGTGACAATTTCTACCAGCTTCAACATCAACTTGACCGAGCCTCAATGGCTAAACAAGTATACATAATTTTTTTATTAAAAAATATTCCATAATTCCTAAAATAACAGACAAAAGCGTTATTAAAGTATAGTTTAGGTCAAATTTCATAATTTCATCTCTGGGAGTTATTTTTAACTTATATAACTCACAAATAATTTACGTTAAGTTACAATAAAATTTGCACCAGTAAATTACGTAGATTACAATAAAATTTACGCAGGTTACAATAAAATTTACACGTTATTTACATGTAAGTCGTAAATTATAATAAAATTTACATCAGTAAATTACATGTAAGCTAACAATCTTATTCTAACTTAAAAAAATTTAAGAACTATCAAAATAACAGATTTATTAAACTCTATCAATAAATATTAGGACAATATAATTTCCAAAGATTATTGAATAACATGCTCAAGTTACAATTTTTCACAATTAATGTCACTAATTACTAAATGAAAAACATTACCAAATTATTAATAATTGGTAAAATCATACTATCATATCGCCTGCTATTTAATTTGAATTGGACGGCCAAGCCGCCGCATGTAGTTGAACATATAAATTAAATAAACCAAATTCCTAAAATTCACATATGGCATTTAAAACTGTTTATACATTTTGAAATTAGTTTGAAAGGTATTAATCAGTTTTAAAAGTCATAAAAATTTAAATTTATTAAAAAAAAGGGAATTATTTATATCCTGACTCAGTTCAAGTTTAAACCACCTACAAATGTGCCCAAATTTTAAAGCTTTAATGATATTATTAACTGGTAACAATGTGAATTTTTTTTTTAAAAAAAAAAAAAAGAAAAAAAGGTACATAGACAAATTTACTATAATTGTTGAATCTCCGAAATCGATCCTCTCAAATCTGATAACCTGTAAATCTGAAAGAAATTAGTCTATCAAGCCGTTTCAGTTATATAGATCTAATGTTTTCAAATCTGATAACCTCTCAATACTGATGCAAAATCTGTCCACCATACATATCGGGTTGGGAAGGTTCAACAATAATTAAGTTTAAATTGCAGCAGCAGCGGCAGCCTCTTCCTGTTCTTTAAGCAATTGCTCACCTTTCTTTTGCTTATATCTTGAATAAATAATGGTAAATAAAACCAAACAACCCAACTAACTATAAAGAAAAATATTTCCAATATAAACTGCATCGTCAACTGTTGGAGAACGATAAACAATAATAACACGAACTGGAACTTCAATAAGTAATCCAAATCCCCAAACAGCTGTTAGGACAATAAATGTTTGTCGAAACCTAGGATAAGATCTCCAATACCTTTCCCAACGTTCAGGTATAGGTTCATCTTCTGTTAAACCTTTAAGGTTTGCCATTCCTAAATTTTTGGCACTATAATATACTAATGGCCGCATTTCGAATGAACCAATTTTGATCGGAATCAAAGTGATAATAAATGCTAAACCGAATACACCAGTAAAAAATGAATCTCGTAGTAAAAATAATCGCGAATCACCCTCAATTACAGAAAATATAATTCCGACAATGAATCCAAATACAACGAGCAATCCTATCAAGTTAACTTGTTTACGAAAGATAAAACTAATTATAACCGAAATTGATGGTGGAACACCTGATATAACTAGTGCCCAGATAGTTGGTAGATATTTTGAAAGGACAAAATAAACATCATTAATAACAATTGTTACATCATTGTTTTTTTATTTTTTTGAGTTGATTCAATCTTCGATGATTGAATTACATGAGCTTCGTTATTTGTTCGATTAGAATCTTCAAGGTGAGACATTGTGTTTCTTTTAAAAATTTATGGTCTATATGATTATAGTGTTTAAGGTTATTAGTGAGTATAATTATATTATTTCACCTTGTAAATACGCTATAAAATTTTTCATAGCCTGAATTTATAGGTGCAGATGAAGCTCGAAGCATTTACATGTGCCAAGCTTTTGGCTAATTGTATGGAAAGGGAATTCACCAATATAGATAAGGTGTAACGTATAATATAGCCGTAACATATGTAATGATTTACGTTGTAACTTAAGTACGACAAAAATATCGAAACTTTTTAATAATTCAAGATTGGCTAAACTGCTTCCAGAATTTTGGGTTTAAACAAGTGTTACGACTCGGAGCATTTTTTAAACCTAAAATCATCAATGAAGGTTTAACTGTTTCACGATTAATAATTTGAATTTAAAAAAATGCATCGGACTCTATAATTCGTATAAGTCTCAAAATCATTGAAAATGGTATGGCTATTCTTTAAATAAAGGTTGTTCTATACATGAAAATGAATGATCATTTCCTTTTGTAAATTCAATTATTGTTACCACAATATTTATCGAGTAAATTTCAAGAACTATTAATCCGTTGTCAATGATTCTGGTCATAAATAAATTTTAAGAATTGTAATACTAATAATGGATTAGCTATTATCGAATTATGTAATAATATTTTCGAATTACAATCGCATCTCCCTAAGTATATCCTCTCGAGACCATAGTGAAAAATTACAAATTTGTACTTGGAGGGGGATTGCACTTATAGAGTGTAAAATTTATAGAGCTCCTATAAGTTGAGACCAGGCTATATTATTCATTTAGAGAGGGGTTCAAATAATATTTCACTTAGGGGTGTACAGTCGGGTGCGGCTGTATTTTTTGTTGCATATACAGCTAGATCTCCTTAAATGCAACTCATTGGGACCAAGCTATTAAATAAAATGCATTTGAGAACAATAAGAAAAATTGCATTCATGGAGTAGGCTGAACTTGGGATTGTGTTTAGGAGTTGCATTTAGAGATATCAGAGTGTAGTAATAAATAATGTAGTTGCGAGACACTGCCACACAAAACCAGAACGCAATTTATGAAATAATTTGATCAGGCACTCGTACGACAAGGTTTGTGACGCAGATATCCTGAACTACAAATCAGATTTCAAAACAAGGTGTAACGTAACACGATTAGGAAGATTCAAAACAAACGTTCGTTCTGCCAAAAATCGCCCGTAACTCAAAAATCATCATAAAAACCGCCTTTAGTGCTCTAACAAAAAGTTTTCATTGGGAAATTTTACTATACAAAACATTCCCTCTACCCCCTAACCCTAACCCTAAACTTAAAAATTTTATCTACGCCATAACCTGGTACGTATTATCCGAGTGCCTTGAGCAGTTACATTGAGTACATGGAGTTTAAATTGTGAATAATATGGTGAAATTTTGACTTTATGATTTATTTAAAATTTAATTCAATTATTTATGTGATATTGCATAATTGCCGGTATTAAAATATAAAAATAGGGATTATATGGGCTGCCGTCAATAGAAATAAGGCAGATTGACATTTTGAAAAAAATCTATACCTTAACTTCCACAGCCCATATCTCAATGAGTTTTGAGGTTATCTTGACGATTTAATAGTCAAAAGAAAGCTTAAGATCTAAGCTTTCTTTTGAATGTTAAATCATTAAGATAACCTCAAAACTCATTGGGATATTGGCTGTGGTATAGATTTTTTTAAAATATCAATCTACCTTATTTCTATTGACGACAGCCCATATCATTTCACTGACAATTGGGGTGTTAGATATCAAATAATTTGCTATCATAATTCAGCACTACCGTATTTGCGCTAGGGTGTGACATCAACTAAGCACAAATTTTCAGGTTACACGAACAGTCAATTTTTTGCTATTATCACATATAAATTTCAAATCGATTCAACTTT